GTCCATCTTGTTTGGACTTTCATCAGACAAAATGAGATCGATAACTTCGTCCGTGTGTTTCCCCTTATTCTTTGGACTAAATGTCTCCAGGAAATCCATACAAGCTTTGTATTCTGGTGATTTGTCCGCGAAGCCCATTTCTTGAATGAGCGATTTGAGGCTAGGTTTCGCCGGTGGATATATTTGATCCGATGGTGAATCGATGTTGAAGTTCAGCGGTTTTTTGCTGGTGTCCGACTCATTGATGCTGTTGATCGGGATAGGGTCCCCAAAAGCTTTAGCCAAGGTTGACTGACGATGACGAGTGGAGCGTCTCGATAATGCCATGTTCTCTGACGTTGACGTGGTTGCTGGTGGTGATTTTTCCTGATTCATTCTCTTTGGCGATAGTTCAGCCGCTTCCTCCGAGTTGGATGACTTGTTGCTTTCTGTGTCACTATGGGTAATTTTTTCCGTTGTCGGGGCTTTGGTTTTTGTGGTCTTGTCCAGAGAAGAAAGACTCATTCCTCGCGGTTTGTCGCATGGAATTCCACTCGTCCTTTTTCCCATTGGTTTGCCCCGCCGTTTGGTTGGACTGTTTTGCATTGAACTCTGCTCCTTTCTTGTCAACTTTCTGGTAAGTCCTGTTTTTTTTATCCTCCGGGGAACATACTGTGCTCGGGTGCTGTTGGATCCTCGATGTCTAAAAAACGAAGACAAGGCCCTGATATTCGTGCCGATTTCTAGTCAGTCAACCGTGATGGTCGACACGGTCCGTAGATTAAAGGATTAGGTACAAAAGCATATCCGCCGTTCCTTAAAAGTCTAGGTTGTTTTCCGAAATCTTGTACCCATGCTGTATGGGGTGTGTATGTTAACATCTTCTCATCGATTGTTTTATATTTTTGTTGGAAAGTTTTGGGATCTTCTACCTTAGTTGACACTCGGATTGTCTTTCTTGCCACTTGCTCTAAGCGTTTGCTAACGTTTTTGTCTGTGAGTGTTTGTATTCTTTTATACCTATTGTTTAAATTATCTATTGCTATGTTCCGTTTGCATTTCGCACCTGGTGTTTGATTTGATGTTTTGCCTGCTGCAATTGGTTGTGGTTGGGGTTGCTGTCGTTGATTGATCGAAACTTCATCCTCTGGCCAATGTTGCAAGTCGTGCATTATTTCGGCTGGTAGAGGCGGCTTTGTGAGTTTTTTCCGATCTAAACATGCATGTTTTGCATTTTCCAAGTTAAGATTGGCCGGTGAACTAGTTGTTGCCAAGTTTGAAAGAGGAGTATTTGGTTTTCTGCCCATGTGTGCTTCAAAAAGTGAAATTTTTGTAACACCATGTGGGGTTATGCGTAAGGTTTTATTTATTTCAGCAATTTCCGAAGCTAATTTGTATGGTGTATTTGCTGGGTCTCTTCTCGTGACTCTTAGTCGACATTTTAATGTTTGTATCATTCTCTCTACCACCCCTATTGCTCTATGATTGTCGACAGGCGCAAAAATTAACTTAATACTTAGTCGACGAGGTACTCCGTTATTCGAAATATATCGTTGCATAAATTTTATGGCGATGTCTGCTGTAGTATTTGAAACAATCTTTGCTGTTGGGAATTTTGACCATTTGTCTATAGCAACGAGTATATAAGCGTCTTTATTTAATTCGTCGGGGAGGGGCCCGGCAAAGTCTAATTGTACTTCATTTAGTTCTACTACCGAATCCATTTGAAATGATTGATTTTTCCCTATTATTGGTTTGAGGTTTTTTACCAAATTCCGTACAGTCTTTGCAATTTTTCGCCATTTGGACGATTGATCGGTGGATGTGTGGGAACCACACGTTTTGGCATAGGTCCAGCAATGCGGCCGATCCTGGGTGTGTCAAGTGTAGGCTTTCCGGGACTGTCTGGCGCAGCTGTGTTGGTATAACTATGCGTTCGTCAATCAGCAGACAGTCCTCCCGCACATGTAGTCTGTTACGGACATTAAACCAATATTGTCCATAGGCGGATTTTATTGCTTCCCACTGCCGCTTTTTTACGAAGTTGATGAGCGGTCTGAGGTTCCTGTCCTTTTTGGTAGCTGCGGCGATGAAACTTTTTGTAGTCGTTGTCGGAACAGCGGCGTGTCCTCCTCTGCTTCCGTCATTTTTGGTAGAAACTTTTTGTAGTCGTTGTCGGAACAGCGGCGTGTCCTCCCCTGCTTCCGTCATTGTTGTTTGATTAACGGATGCCACTATGTTTTCTGTTATTTCGTGGTGGCTAGCTTCCGGTTGTGGTGCATTCGATTGCATTCCTGACATTGTGGGAGGTTCCTCATTGGGGATGCATTCCTCTTGGCTTGCGATATCAAAGTTTATTCTGCTCAAAAACAGCTCGTTTGTTCCTCCCTTAGCTCTGTTTGGGTTCCCACCAACACATGATTGTTGTCCGTCTGTACTGCCACCGTGGTTTTCATTTTGGGGATGCACTGCTTTTCTGTTTTTGAATTCTCTTCAGTAAAACTTATTGTCGGGAAGTTTTTTACTGGTGGTGGCATTGATGTTCGTAGTTGTCGATGCTGAAGTGCTGGTTGGTGTTTTTTTTCATTGGTGGTCGTTTGTGCCACCGAGGATCTGAGAGGCTTTCCTCCCTGTCTGATGTCCCTTGCCAGTTGTCCAATTTCTCCTCCTTGCGACCACGTGGGTTCAGGGATTTCACTTCATCCGGGATGAATCCACTTTTGTATTGTATGACGTCCGGTTTTCTATTCATCTTTGTTTGTCTCTGTATGAAATTTACAAAATTTGTTGAGTTTTTGAAACAATCTGATAAATTTTGTCTTGAGTTTGTCTCTATCGACAGTTTGTCTCTATTTGCAGAGTGATTTGCTGACCGATTTGCAGAATGATTTGAGCAGAAATGATTTGGTTTTAGAGTTTTCAATCGACCGCTTGCGGAATTTTGTAAAGAATGCTGATTCAAATCAAGTTTTGAAGTGTTAATTGTTGTCCTTTTATAATCCGCGCGCTTTTTGATCAGCTGTCACGGTGCAAGATTTTGATTGGCTAGCTCATTAAGAATGACGTTGTCAATCACCTCCAACTTATTTATGAATGTATTAATTTATGCAACAACAAATTCCTCATCGTACTCGCTTGGGGGTATTGCCAATCCAACCGGATTTCGTAACATATAGTCAATTAGTCCCGTCTTGTTACCGGCTAAGTGTTTGCTATCGAAGTGAAATGGGATTGGTCGATCAATCCATCTGGTTAATCTACTTTGACTTGTTTTTGATCTTTCGCTTGCGTTTAAAGCGCTGATTAAAGCTTGGTGGTCTGTGATGACGGTGAAATGTTTTCCGTACAGATAATATTCGTAGTGTTCAATTGCTCACACTACACCGAGTAATTCTAGTTCGTTGACTGAGTACTTTTCCTCGAGGGAATTTAAAAATCTTGAAGCATAAGCAATTGCCACCCAACCTTCTGGTGAATAGTGTTCTAGTGAAGCCCCTAAACCTGATGTAGAAGCATCAGTTACTATACGTGTTTCTAAATGTTGTGAATACGCGTATCGCAAACCCAGTATAGAGTTTGTTGATTAGCGTTTGATTTAAGTACCTGAGCTATGTTGTCTAACAGTAAACCAATATTAGGCATTTGGTATTTATTTTATGAATAAATTTATTGATCTTGTTTGAGTCCAACGCTAATTTCACCGTCTGATCTTTTTTTACTGTAATCACAATTGGACTTATGAATTGTCCATCGGAACATTTATCCAGTTTTATTATGTGTTTTTGATCCATGAGCTTGTTGAGTTCTTTTTCTACTCGATCTTGTAGGTGCACCGGGACACGGCGTCCTTTCTGTTGTACCGGAATAATTTCGTTATTGAATTGATTTCTCATTACGTGATTGTTTGATTTTCCAACACGAATTTGAAACACGAATGATTTCTGGGTTTGATTGTTCCTGTTCACGTATATTCAGTACGTTTTCTTGTTTTAGTTTTTCCTGTATTAATCTTATTCCGAGTTGTAGGAGGATGTTTCTCCCTATGATGTTTACTTTTTGGTTATCGACAATGATGAATGGAGCAGCTTTTATTTTCCAGCCTCCTGTTTCAATCATAACTATCAGCCTCCCCTTTGAGACAATCGTTTCACCATTGTATCAAGCTAAGTTCCGAGCCGTGTCGTCCGGAGGAATTTGTTTCAGCATTACGGAGTTGTCATTTTCTTGTAACCTGTATGAACGACATTGGACTTTTTTTTCGACATTGGATCTTTTTTTTACAGGAACGACATTGGACTCCCGGAGTCAGCGATGGCAAATAAATCTTCTGTTTTTGTCTTCAGTTTAATGATGTGTCCATTTAAATCATCTTCTGACAAAGTTGTCGCTTGTTTTATTTCAAATGCTTCTGATATTGCCATTACTGAAAATTTATCTACGTGGTACTCCTCCCAACCGTTTTTTGACGTAAAGTCGGCAAACGCGACTGGATCGAGTTCGGTTTCGTAAATTTCTGATTCGATTTCGTTCTATTCTTCTTCGTTGTTACGATCTCCCAAATAATTAACATTTCCTGAGCGACACACTTTAGCAAAATGACCCCGTTTGGCGCATTTAGAACAAATTTTATCCTTTGCGGGACATGTTTGTAAATGGTTTTGTCCAAACAGGTTACCACATTTGTAGCATTGCTTTTGAGTGTTGGAATATTGGTTCCTTTGTTGTTGTTGGGACTGACCTCGTGTATTTTGTTGACCTCGAGGATATGGGCGTCCTCGAAAATTTCCCCGGACTTCATAAATGTAACTATCTTCCAGATGCAAAAGGAAAATTCCGTTTCAATTAAAAAAAATTATATGAAAAAAAATAACCCGAGCGTATTTTTGTCATTTTCTTCAAAAATCAGAACGTCCTAAACAAGAGTTTATATGTAAGAAAAACTACCATGAGCGTAAGTTTTCTCTCAGTTTCTTGAAAAATCAGAACAATAACAATCATAAATAGTTTTTCAATTGGCGTGGGATATCATATCATCTGTGTAGCTAGTATGGAGTTTTATCATTTACAAATTAATTTCAATATACAATTGTGCAAGCAAACTGTTAATAATAATAATTGTGCATTGTTACATAAATTTAATTTCCAACTTCGTCGTAGTTTTTTTTGCTAATCAGAAGCTAAAATCGCTGATTGAAGAGTGCAAAAGATTTTAACATCCAAAATTATTCTTGAAGGATCATGTACAGGGTCAAAGCTCAAGTTTCGCTAATTTTTCCATAGAACTTTAAGTATAATGATTATTCAATTCGATTTATTGATGTTTATACTGAAAAGTGAAGTAAAACAACGCTAGGAGTAATGTTAAATTTATATGTTTGTTTGGTTCAGACTGTTGGTGAAATCCAAACAGAACTCTTGCTTTTCTCCGCTCTCAAAAATATCTCTGAAATTAAATAATAGACTTGCTCTCGGAACATTCTGTCTTGCTTTTTTGTTCACAGCCCGAACTATCAAACTAGCGAAATAGCCCACGGTTATCGTGGTGAAGGCTCCTAGCATTCCGTACCATGCATAAGATAGTCGGAACACTGAGTTTTGAATGAAGTTTAAATCATCAGTACTGCTTGCCAGAGTGTAAGCTCCGAACTCTTTCTGGTTGAGATATAATTGGTCAATTGTCTCGTCCAATGGGAGTTGAGACGAGCAGTTAGTTGCGTGAAGAATGAGTTTAGCCTGTGTGTACCCGACTGATTTGGTCCCCAAATAAATACATGCTGAAAAAAATACGTAGATTAATTTCACAATTAATCTACCAAAACTTGATGTCGAAACGGGTGTTAAAAGGGTGTTATAGTTCGGAATTTGATCAGAAAACTTGATCAGAAAAAAAACATTGAGGACTTGATCAGGAAAAAATGAGACGGTTGTCTTTGAAGTAGCTGTCTTTGAAGTTCATAATGGCCCCCCAATATACCTCGAAGGAAAAGAAGGATCAGGTTAACTATTTCCCCCCTATAGTACCTTGTAAAGAATCTCCCCCCCCCCCCTGTTCTCGCTAGAATTCTTAGCGAGAAAAAACCAAGGGCGTAACTATTGAATTTTCTGGTGAACGAAGAACAGTGTGTGAAAAAAGACAAAAAACTGAAAGATCTAAACAAAGTTCACAACTTGTTCAGGCGCCATTTTAAAGTTGACTTTAATGTTTTCATTTTTCTTATTTTATGACACTGAATTCTGCTTTTAATTGCCGAAATTTATGTCAATTCGATATTCTTTGTTGACTTGTAATTTCTTATAATTACGGTTAAATTACGTATGAAATGAAATGTTGTCAATCGGCCAGCTACCCAAAAACGATCCACCTCAGAACCGAAACGAGGCAGAAACACCCCCACCCCCCTATAATAACACATTTCATTTTAAAGTTCATTTATGCTCAACTGGATTGGTTTTGTATTTCTCAGAAATGTGTTCTGTCGCATTCCTATTGGTTGACGTTATTTTATTTTGCATTCCTATTGGTTGAATTTAATTTCAATAAATTTCATCTTAACCTTGTTAATAACTATTTCCCCCCTATTGCAATAGGGGGGAAATAGTTAACATGATCCGAAAAGAATAATAGTACGCCATAGCTCACTATATTCCGTATGTTTGAATAAAGAATAATTTTTATGGTGGCGAAAATATTTTATACAACCAACATTGACCGTGTGTGTTTTTGCTCCAACATATACTGTTGTGATTTGTTTTTAGTATCTTATAATGACCTTCGGTATTTTAATTAATACCAGTTTAGTTACGACCATCGGTCGATATGAACGGAAGTTCAGTTGTCCTTTTTAACGTTCTTAATTCAACTACTTCCTTTTAACGTTTTAACCTTTAAGCTTTTGTACATATAGAACTATAGAATTAGAATAGTTTATTATTGCGCAGTCAATTGATTCGAACGTGCGTGGAATTCCCCCCTTTTGGCCTAATCGCACTCTAGAGCCACCGCATGCCTGGACCCAATGGAGCGACCAATTTCAATTGGCGATCATTGCGAAAGAAAATCTGAATTTAGAGAGCCTACATGGACCAGAGATACCGGAGACGCAAATTCCAATTTTGGAACAAGCAACAGGCAGCGAGTCGGACGCGGAAAAAGCCAACAGAGAGAGCAGGAACAAAAACACAATGAAACAGTATGAATCCGCAGAAGAGAAACGGATCAACGAAGAGGAGAGGAAATTTAATGGAATGAGACGAACGGAGGCGGACAAGAAATTGCGATCAATTTTATTTCTAGCCCTAGGGAGCGAAGGAAAAAGAGTTTTTACACAAAAGAACCCGAGAGTCAAGATTCTAGAAATATCGTTCTCTGAGTTCTGGACTCAATTAGACGCAGCATTTAACAAACCGCCCAACACTACGTTCGAAAAATATAAACTACTAAATCGAAAGCAAAAAGATCGTGAGTCGTACGAACAATTCTGGGGAGCACTGACGGACCTAGCCAGCACGTGCAACATCAAGGAATCTGACGAGGCGGAATGGATAAGGGATATCTTCATTTGCAATATGAAGAACACAGACACCCAGAGGAAGCTACTTTCAGCTACCATAAGCCCGTCGAAAGCACTTAACCAAGCCCTAATCGACGAAAAGGGATATTTTAACCACCAGAAACTGACAAATATGTCACGGTCATCGCCCAACGGGACAACTTTTAAATCTTTTATTAACCACAATCATATCAAAAAGGAACCAAGTTTAAACATCGAAAGGAGTGACTCGTGCATGAAATGCGGAAATACATTTACGAAAGGGCACTTAAACGTTTGCCCAGCGAAGGGCATAACCTGTAAAATTTATAATTATAAGGGACACTTCGCCAAATTATGTAAATCACGCAATAAGAGACCAACTGTAAATACTGTATCAGATAATTACGTAAATACTGAGAATTGTACATACACACCTCCGGAAAACTCGTGGATGGAAGAAAAAGAATTGTGCGACGTTATAAATGCGTGGAATGAGTACTGACAGAGCGACGATGACGATTTCTCGGTGTTGAGCGTCAGAACTATTTACGACAATAATGGTCTCGAAACAAAAAAACTCCTGAACCTAGACATCGGCTGGGAAATGATTTTAAATATGAACATACCTGTAGATTCAGCAAGCCCTGTAAGTTTTTTAAAACAGAAGGTACTACACGAAATTAAACTAAGATACCCGAACCTCAAGATACACCCAATGGAGAAAAGAATAAAAAACCTATGATGCGGACTCACCAATGATACGATCAATATTTTGGGGAAAATAATAGTCAGAACACAGTCCAATGGGTGGATCAGTGAAGAAACCCCATTCTTCATAACCGGCGGACACGAGCGAAACAAATTGGGGAACGACAATTTACCCAAACTGGGCATTGAAATAACGCAGAGGAAATGCCCCCAACCAATCTGCATGGTCAATCAACCCACACTCGAGAGTGAGTACAAAAACTTACCTTCTTTATCAGACAAAATTTTTAACGAGTTCAAAAACTTATTCACTAGAGTGGAGAAAATACCTAACGATCGAAAGGTAACCCATTTTCACACACCTTTTAAACCATTACAAACCAAAGGGAGAAGAGTTCCACTCCACTTACTCGCGGGAGTGAACGAAGAGTTAAAAAGAATGGAAAAAGAAGGTCACATAATAAAATTAGAGAAATGCGACGAAGATTGCTTTATCAGCCCAATTGTAATCACTTGGAAAAAGGATACTTCAATAAAACTGGCACTTGACTCTAAGCTTTTAAATGATCAAATTTTTAAAAATAAGTATAAAATGCCGAATATCCATGAACTGATCGGTAACGTGGCGCTCCAAATTTCAGAAAAATCCAACGGGCGAATGTGGTTTAGTAATTTAGACCTGAAAACGCCTATAGCCAACTTAAACTATGCGATCAAACATGTAAACAGTGCAATTTTAGCATAGTATGCGGCGAAACGACCGGAACGTATCGATTTCTAACGGGATTTTACGGATTGGGAGACATGCCCAACGAATTCCAACGGGTCATGGACTCACTGTTGAAAAATATCCCGTTTACAAATTGTTACATAGACGACATACTGGTAGCCTCGCGTGGATCCCTGGAAGAACACAAATCAATAGTGTACAAAATTTTATTAATATTAGATAAGAACAACATGGCAGTTAAATGGGGGAAATGCGCATTTTTTAAATCTGACATCAAATGGCTTGGCTTCAAGATCTCAGGCGATGGAGTACGACCGTTGGTCGGTAAAGCCGACACAATAAAAAATTTGCCAACCCCGAAGAATATTTCTGAACTTCGTTCATTTTTCGGCTCGATAAACCAATATGTAAAATTTGTCCCTAACTTATCGACGTTCAGCTCCCCTCTTCGACCTCTTCTAAACAAAAAGTCGTTATACAAATGGGATATCAGCCATTCAATAGCGTTTGAGAAGTTAAAAACGGAAATTGTAAATATTGCCGAAAACAGCCATTTCGATATAAAAGAGAAGACAAGACTGAAAACGGACGCTTCACATAGCGGACTAGGGGCAACCCTAGAACAATTACAGGACGATCCAGATTTTAAACAACCATGAAATGAAATTTTCTACCAACGAATTAGAGTTGCTGGGAGTCGTATGGGCTACAGAACATTTCAGAAACTACCTGTACGGAACAGAATTCTAAATAGTAACTGATCACAAAGCATTACTATCAGCACTTTTGGCAAATCATGGAAACAAAACGATGCATAGCCGATTGATCCGTTGGGAAAACAGACTTTTACCATTCAATTTTAAAATTTCACATTTACCAGGAAAGGACATGGGCTTTACTGACCTTTTATCTAGACTTCCTTCGGGCGAAGCCATTCCAATTTCACATTATGACGATGAATTTGTAGTCGCTTCAATCGACAAAATTCAGAACATTTTATCGACTAAACAAAATTCTAAAATAGTTACTGTAAATTCTGTAGATAGACCAGCGGTCGCTGTAAATACTAATTCACGAGTTAATACAATCCCGTCGGGAGACGAAAATTCAAGCGACGTGATTGGTCAGAATTGGTTGAATAGCTCTTTAGCTTTACTCAATCTCAAGATTATTGCTGCTATCATATCTTGTATCGCTCAGTCGATAAAAGTTTGCCACAATAATCACTCTCAGACAGAAAATTGAACTACAAATTGCCAACCAGTCGATAATTCTAAATTTAATTTTAAAAGTATTATCTTTTCGGACAAAGTCCTTTTACATTTCTAACTACTAAACAGACACTTCATACCATCTAGCAAAAAAAAAATTAGAACTCCCAATGGACAAAGTGAACGAACCCCTTTTGATCATTCCCGAAGAACATAATATCGCCCTCAAATTCAGAGACGACAGACTTCCACCCGACCACGCAGACCTCTTAAGAAGATATAAGGCCGACCTGAATTTACCGAATTCCCCAATTCGCCCGGAAAACTACTGTTCGAAGAAATTGCTTCAGATCATGACTAAAGAAGACAAGGTGCTGTGTGATTTGATAGAGACGATAAAGAGGAATCGACCTATGGGCATACACGGGACTTACATGAAGAACTACACCAAAGACCTACACGTGAAGGATGAGCTACTATTTCTAGACAATAAACTTGTCGTCCCAGCTACCATCAGGGGAACTTTTAATTCGATGCTACATGAGACTCACCCAGGGTAGTTTGGGATGAAATCCCTCGCCGAATATTTAAGGTGGCCGCATATTTACCGCGAAATTTACCATCACGGGAGAACATGTAGCTAATGTCTAAAAGCGGGTAAGAACATTAAAGTGTTACTAGGCACCCATAATATTTCGAAACTCCCCACGTTGACATTCGCGAACGAAGAAATTAATTTGGATTTTGCGGGACCGTTGGACGCGTGCTGGGGTAACAACAAATACATTCTCCTTTGCATTGACCGTTACACTAAGTTTCCTTCGGCCAAAATCGTCAATAACACCTCTACAAGTAACGTAATTTCATTTCTAAACGATTACTGTCACCTCCACGGATTCCCAAGAAAAATTAGAGTCGACCATGGGTCATGCTTCTTATCACATGATTTCAAAAACTTTTGCGATAAATTTAATATTGAAGTTATTTACTGCACTGTCGGAGACCACAGATCCAATGGGCTAGTAGAAAGACTAGTGTACACAATTAAATCGAAATTTCTGGCAATGTCATTCGAAGTACCCAAGCCATCTCTAAACGATTCGATCGAGAAAATCATCTGGAATCTGAGAATCTCAAAACAAACTGGGATCGGCTGTACTCCGTTTGAAAAGCATTTTAATAGAGTAGCGAACACTAGGTGGAAAATTCTTATGTCCAATATTGACCATTTAGATAAAGGGAAGGCTATACTGTCCAAAGAGCGGGCCACTAACTGGGAACTACACGACGGGGCAGAAGATGGCTATTTGGACGAGGAAAAGGACAGCACGTCGGACCCAGAAGAAAACATGCCTCTAGCTAGGACTTTCAGCCTACACACAGCCCCGGACGTCACTATCCGAACTTCAGAACCACTGGCAAAAAGAAAAGCAGTAATGGGAGGTAACTTATATAGAGAGGTGTCTAACAGGAAAAATAGAGACCGATATTTTAATCTGGTTAAGAAGGATATCATCGATTCTTCAGAGCACACAGTTACTCTCGTCGACAACGGTCACGTTTTACGTAAATCGGATCTGGCTATAAAAGGAAAAATACTCCCAGGGCCCAAAAAGATAATAGTGAATCAGACACCCACTGGGCATAATCTTAATACTCATTCGAGTTTAGCTGGGAAAAGGAAACTCTCACCACCGAAGAAAGCTGGATCGACACCCGCTGGTCACTCGAGCCAAGGCACCCCGAGAACGGATAACACCAGAGCAGGGACTAGCGCACCGACTGCGAGCACAGCCATTCAAGACTCTCCAAGATTCTCTTCAGGTTCATCTTCCTTAAATCTAGATTCGTGGGACGGGATAATCGAGGATTACTTTGATGACGTGTCCAATAATAACGTACCTCAAAATCCCTATACCGAATCTAATCCGGGCTTAAGTATTACAGGTCCTGCCGAGTCCCTACAACTGAGCTCAGAAAGGACAGTGAACAACGACCCACGGGAGATTGTTGTCATCCACGATGCGAATACTACCGAAGGATCACAGGACAATCCAATTATGGTAGACAGTATTCCGGAACAGACGTTCAGCGCGACTCCACAGACCCGAAAGCCCCCCACAGTTTTACGGAAATCGGAGATTTATAGGCGTGGTGCAAGAAAAAGACGACCTAGGGGCGTCAACTCCCTTGTTCTCTCCGGCACCGGACTCTCACAGGTCTACTTTCTCGGTCAACTCTCCTTCTGACCTTTTGACTCCATTAGCGGAGGCGCCTTCCAGACAGATTCTCTTCGCAGAAACTACGTTGTGCTGGTCTTCAAGGAACTCCCTCCCGACGGTCAGACTTGCAACATCTACCACGAAGACTCACTTTCACGAGAATTCTTCGGACTCAAATTTAACTTACCCGACCTCAAAGGACCCCACGCTAGAGGTGGACAGCTATAGCGAGATCTCATCGACTATAGATTCGGAAGTGAGGGCCAAATTGGATGAGTTTGAGGACCAATTCTTGTAATCGACATATCAATTCAAACTTAACAAAACAATTCTGTAAACCATATTTTACCGCCGGACTTTTTACTTTTACCTGTAGATACAATTGTACATGTTAATGTACTTGTTGTGGATTAGTTTTATCTAGTTAGTTATCGTATTCTGTAAATTTTGTAATTCTGTATAGCCACCCTGTACATTTGCTACATTCTCTTTCAATTGTGGATTTTATTTTACTTCTGTATATTTACCCTATGGGCGCAGTTTGGAAAATTCTTCCATTTTCGGAGGGGAAAAAGGGTGTATATAGAGTTATATAGTTAGTTTGCAGTTTTATTTTTTTCCCGGTGGGAAATGTTGTGATTTGTTTTTAGTATCTTATAATGACCTTCGGTATTTTAATTAATACCAGTTTAGTTACGACCATCGGTCGATATGAACGGAAGTTCAGTTGTCCTTTTTAACGTTCTTAATTCAACTACTTCCTTTTAACGTTTTAACCTTTAAGCTTATGTACATACTTTGTACATATAGAAACATAGAATTAGAATAGTTTCTTATATACTGAAAGTTTAATTTTTTACAAGTTGTTTAAACCGAAATTTCCCTCTTTTTTCAAAAATACTTGCATCATTTTCCACAACCCCGAAATACGGAAATGATTAATTTACCCAGTAGAGATATGCTGCTCAAATATCCAATTGTAGAACCAATTCCATTGCTCCTTGTAGTCAGCATTCCCAACAGAAACAAGCCCAAGACAGGTCCCGCCAGAATTCCACTGATGGCGAAAGCCAGTTCAAGTATGGACCCCAAATACTTGCACAAAAATGCAAACGCAACTGTAATAATTGCAAACACTGACGACAACAATTTCCCAATTTGCGCTCTCTTTTCCTCGGTGAAAAGTTTAGGAGGAATCAAATCGGTTAAAACAAGTCCAGCTAAAGCGTTCACACCTGTTGAAATTGAACTTAATGATCCACTAAAAATACAAGATACAAAAAGACCTCCAAAGCCAGGCCATTTTGAAAACGTGTCCAGCACAAAATAGGGTAAAATTTGGTCTGGACTTTGAATATGTCCTGCTTTGAGCGGGTCACACAGCGCGTATTTCGTGAAGGCTACAAATCCACAATAACCCGAAAGAAATACAATCGAAAGTAACCCAGGAAGAATCATAAACGTTGCTTTGTATGCGTCTCTGTTTGTTTTGACGTTGACGTATCTCTGAACCAGCGCTTGATTGACAGCATAAGTCGGCAGCCACATGAAAACACCTCCAACAATCAAATCGAATCCCGAATGTCGCACTCTCGGATCCCACGAGAAGTTGTCGTATTCTAGACGAAGTCCAGCGTTTGCAACTTCAAAGACAGCCGAGAAGCCTCCGACCTTCAGGGTTCCTGCGATAGCCACTGTAATCATGCCTCCAATCATGACCACCGTTTGAACTGCGTCGGTCCAAATTATGGCCTTTATGCCTCCTACGGCTGTATAGAAGAGGCATACAAGACTTACTGTGATAATGGACCCGTTTAGAGATAACCCTGTGACTGCGTTAAGGGCAAGAGCTGGTGAGTAAGTAACAACCCCCATGTAAAGTAGCATTTGGATTGTGTAGGCCAGACAAGCCATAAGAGATAAGACGATATTGAATCTTAAAAAATTTATCATCAGACCCCGATGAAAAGATTGAAGTCAAAAATTAAAAAAATCATTTTGAAATTTATTCATTTACTTCTCAAAATCCAGTAGTTACACCGCAAAACTTGGAGTCATCGGAGCATATCACTAGAGTTAGTAGTGAATTTAATATGTGGATGGAAGGTGGCTCTCTCAAAGTAGTTCGATACCTTTAGCAACCTGTTTTTTTAGGTCGACCGATCGACCGAATTGATTTTCCGAGCTCTCCCAAAGCACTGAAAAGACCCTGTTTTGGTCAAATTTTCTGCGCTGCAGGGCACAATTTTGAAAAACGGGCCAAAAAACGCGCGTTTTTAGGCACTTTTTAGAAAATTTTGATCAACAAATTTGCGTTTTTTTGGCGCGCGCTGCCCCCTCAAAGTAAATATATATTGGCGCCCATAGAAAAATTTAGGGTCCGTCATCAAATATGGATATCTCAAAATAGTACAAAGGAGGGACCCTTTGGGTCGGCAGGGGGTCGAATCCCTGAGGAGGGGGGGCGTCCCCCCCCCCCCCCTAAATCCGCCCCTGGTCTTAAACTTGTTCACCCTATCAGAAAACTTCTTTGCAAAACTTATCAACTTCTTAGAGAGCAAAATATAACTGCAAAGGGGACTAATGAAGTCCGGTGCTTCTACCTATTTCGCAAGTATACGAATACTGATGCACTTGCTTGTTTGCGGAATACAGGAATGAACAACAAAGCTGTGATTGGAATAAGGATGAAGAATGATACCAAATTGTAAAAGAACATGAAGCCATTCATGTAGATCTCAGACGGCGTTCCTGAAAACAAAGTTCAACTAATTAACAGTCACTTCAGATGTTTTCCCGCAAAGCAGAGCCACTTAAAGCAAAGAGTTTAAGTGTTTTAACTGGTCTCTGAAAATTAAAATTTCTTCGAGCCAAAAAAATTCCGCTAAGGCGTCGCGGAAAAGTTTCTTGAATTACTCGGGCCCCCATATTCCCTAGACTAATCTTCGATAGACATGCTCTTTCAATTGAGTTTTCAGATTGCTGCAGGTATTCTAAGAAGCTTGACTTGTTGAGACTAGTCAGTGTTGCAAAATACTTAATTTTAACTCACCCAATAGTGTGATTGCAGATATGAAGCTGGCCAATAGCGACAGGGATGTCGGGATCCAATCGAGCTTACCGTCGCCGGATAACCACTCGCGCTGCGTCTTCTGCCGTCCTCCGGAACAGCAGGCGAAGTAAATTCCGATAAAAGCCGAAATCCCGAGTAAACACGCGAAGACCGAATAGTCGGCCCAGCCGAATTGGGAGGAGTTGGACAGATCGTCCGATGTTGAGGCAACGACTCCTGGCGTGCTTCTCGATTCCATCATTGATGACTCACTCGTAGGAGACGCTGACATTTTCAATAAAATAAAAAAGACTAGAATACAAATGATTGAAAATGCGACCAGATTAAATACGAACTTTTTTAGATCAAAGGCTTCTAATTTTTCAATAATCGGCCTATGATGGTCGCCAATATAACATAAATGGCCTCATCTGCTAGAACTCGTTTTTGCTTAGTATAGCATTCAAATGTCAGATGAATGCACTCGATGTAATGACAGTTTTTAACATCAGTTGTTTAATTCATCAAATCTTTGATTAACTTCTGCATAAAAGTGAAATCACACAGCTAATTGTTTGGTTGATTGGCGAGAGAACACTTTCATGTATGGCTGTCATTTTTAAACTGAAACTTGTGAACGCAAAGTATTTTTTGCTTGATAGATAGACCAAATAACGCAGTTAAAACACGTTCTTAGTTCTCATATTTCGCAACTTAAAACCTTTAGATTCATGGACGCAAAGTTAGGTAGCATAGTTTGATAACTTTGATGGAAATATCAGTGAACAAATAAATAATCATAAATAATCACCTGGTTTGGAGTGAAACGACTTTGGTCAGACTTAGAGCAAAAAAACTAAGCACTACAATACATTTTCATATTTCATATTTCAAAGCCTTGTCACGTTGCGAAAAAATATCGTTTTCCTATGTTTTGATGGAAAGTGCTCCAGATAGGTTCGAGTCTGCATATATGGTTCAGCAGTCTGCTCCTGAATCAGTGTGCAATCTGCGCTGTTTTACTAATTTTAAACTTTATCGGATGTCTAAGTTATTGAACAAATTTAAAGTTCTTGAACAAATTCTGGCCTTAAGAGAGTGAAATGACTAAATAGCAAACGAATGATTTTTTGAAACTGAACTTGAAACGTCAAAAGAGCAATGTAAAACGAATGCGCTTTTTCAAAAACGTCAATTTTTTTGATTAAACTCAAGACCACTACTTCAAAACAATGATCATTCAGCAGCAGTCTTCTATCTAATTTTTCATTGAAAAACTACAGCAAAAATGCCGACAAAAAAAAACAAACTTCAAAGAATCATTTCGAATAACTTTTAGCTAGTAGGTCAATTTATTTCAAATTTTACGGCCTTGTTAAGTTAATGCCAAATTGTTGGCAATAGTTTTTGGGTCAACGGATCTGAATGAAGTTAATTAATCTAAAATTGCTCATTTTGGCGTCAATTTTCATCTTATTACTACTTTCAACACGTAACACGGCCAATTAAACTGTTTAAGATCATCAACATTGCCGACAATTTGGCCTTAACTGTACATTATATAAAAATGTTGTTACTGAACTATGGTGCTGATTTAAGTTATCCGGAGAGAACGTATAGACCTGAAATTTAAAAACCGTTTTCCATTGGATTAACTATAGACAAAATTGACCAGAACAAAATGTGCTTAGGTTTTCACGCGAATTAATATTTTGCAATTAATTGGCAAAATTCGGGCCCAAAGTTTTACCCCACAAACGAATCAATTTTTGATTTCTCCTTTAATCAAAAATGCTGATCTTTTTGCTGGGTGGTCCAATATGTATGGTTCAAAAACGGTGTTTGATTTAGTAAAAACGTAAAACTTTTTAACAGCAACAATACGAGGCCAAACTGTGCAATCTCTGCATTGTAAGCGGAATCCGCAACAGGCCAAAATCAGATTTGTCGCGGAATCCGCAACATTGCTACTTTTCTTTGATCTTTTATGCTGTTTTGGATTCCACAAACAAATACCTAAATCATTGTACCGCTCAAAATCGCTCCAAAAATAGGCAAATTTGCGGAATCCGCAACAGTATTTGCGGAATCCAGAACAGTTTGTGGAGTCCACAAACAAATGATAAACTATTTGTATCGTTAAATTGAGCTGTTGCGGAATCTGCAAATTGTAAGTGGAAACCTCAATTTGTAAGTGGAATCCGCAAATTGTAAGTGGAATCCGCAAATTGTAAGTGGAATCCGCAAATTATAAGTGGAATTCGCATTTTGTTTGCGGATTCCATTTACATATATGTTCATTTGTGGTAACGTTTTAATTTATATCTTTTATTTCCTACAGGTGTTCACCAACAACGGTTCACAAACAATACATGACGTCTACCAGTCTCAGTTCGATCTCAACTTCGATCTCACTAACTTCGTCGCCAACTTCGATTTCAATTCCTGTAACCCAACTTCGATCCCAATTCCTGTAACCCAATTTCGATCCCGATTCCTGTAACCAAACTTTGATCCCGATTCCTGTAACCCAACTTCGATCCCAATTCCTGCCGTCAATCTCAATTCCTGCAAAAGAAACAAATTGAACAAACTTATGAAGTAAACTCGCATTTAAGTTAATCAGTTCTTTTCAACCAATTAAATCAATTAAAATAATTAAAGTGTGTTCAAATATAGTTTGATAAGGCAAAATTCCCGGGAATAAATTTTTGTTTTGGCAATTAACCCCTTATTTTGGCTGTAGTTGTTCAAGTTTTGTTAATTTTTTTAAATCTAAAATGGATTTACTCAAATTAGTCTTCTTAATAGATAATTTACTTTCTATGAGCAAATTACACCAAATAGATAGTTTAATCTTTATGAGTAACTTTGACGGACCGGCATATTTTTCAGACCATAACACAAACTGCATACAATAAGAAGAATACGGCAAATTACGGTAAATTTGAAGAGATCAAATAACAACAAACAGTCATAAGAAATCAGTCATGACAACAAACAGTATAAACAGTTCAAGTTGTTCGTTCCCAGTCATAAAAAAATCCTGGGCGGACTCGGCCATACTATGTCTAAATACTTCTCGGTAGTTATCCTCGACGGCATATCTACCACGGCATGCATTTAAATGGCATCGGATTGTGCTCATGAGGAAATCTCTGTATTCGTTGAACTTGAGAGATTTGATCAGAGTGTCTAGCTCACGTTCGTTTCTTGCTGGCAACGAATCCCATTTCCCCCCAGCACAGAATCCCCCCAGCACAGAAGATTGATGGCATTTAAAAAATCCTGAGGTTATACCGCCCAAAAATATAGCAGCACACTGTGTGAATGATAAACCAATGGCCTTTCTGGTTACTGGTGTAGCTGGAACCAATGCGAAAGTTTGCCCTGTTTTTTTCCTCATCAAGCCAACGCATCTTTTCATTTCCAAAAATTTTGCAAAATTTTGGCTAATTGGGTGATAATATCACTCAGATCGCAGCTAAAAATGTTCTAAATCGAAGCACAAAATAGTAAAAGAATAAATCATATTTGTTTTTGGAAAAACAACGAATTTGAAAAAAACAGCCACATACCAAAAAATCTTCTTCCGCAAGCTCCGCCAAAACAAGGCATTCTCAGGTTGACATCCGCATTTTGGATGGAACTCATTCCACCAAATGCTCGTATCTTCGAATAATCGAATTTCAAATAATCAACACGAAATTTTCTCAGGCGCACAAGATAGTCGATCCTAGCTAAAACCACAAAACAGAATACGGTGTATAAATAGAATACGGTAGATTAAATAACGATAAAAAATAAGTATCAGCTGCATCCGGAAATGCGTAATAAATTTTCAGGATATCAGATGAAATCGATGATCATACAGAATATAAGGATAGTTGGATGTGATTACTTAGTAGATTTGTTACACATTTGATTAATTACATGATAATTTTGCCTGTTTTACACCGTTGATGCATGGAGCAAACTTCAACGGAATGTCACTTTCTGGCAACTCAAAATAATCAAGGCGACTCAAAAAATCTTTCTGCGGTTTTTCCTCCTTGTTTTTTTTGGCCTTGGGCTCTGAGGATTTTTGTTCAGGTCTAGATTTTTCAGCATCCGTAATCATGAACTTTATGAAATTGTCTGGCAGTGATTCTCCGGCGAATCGTTTCCTTGAATCGCCTTGTGACTCGTTTCTCAACTCGGAGTACCTAACGTATAAATTGCCACTGCATGATGGTCCATTCCCCACTGTCCTGAGGTTTGTCGACCAAACGAACTGTGCACTGGGACACGAAAGGGTCGTTGATGTGGACAATCCCTTTTTTAACACTCCCAGCATGTTGAAAAAAAACCATCGAGTCCCTGTGCAGCCGTCAAGGATGACAAGAATGAAAAACTCTAATATATGACCGAGCTGAGAAGCGATTGAATGATTAAATGAAATTAGCCTTGGTTCAAGAGTTGACTAATGACAGTTTCCCTGATATTGACGGCTTTACTGATAAGAACTGCACTGTCTAATTCCACTTATCCTTATGACGCCTTCATTATCAATTGGTCGCCTTATCTTTAGGCAGTCATTATTGCATAGATGCCACAGTCGGCTGGTATGCTAAAAAGAGTTGAAAGTATCGAAGCTATTCTTTGGTGGACTCTTATCTTGATATCCTGGTGTTTTGATTAAACTGGTGCTGATAAGAGATGGGAGCTTCGCCGCTAAATTGGACTCAGTTCATCCTCATCTTGTGCTCAATATTAGTTGCATCTCTCATTTTTCATCCCACTCTAGTAAAAACTTACGGACTCAAAGTAAATGTCCAACGCCGAAAACTCATGTTCAGTGCCTTCCAGTTCTCCATCACCATTTGCAGTGCCTTCTAACATCCCTGTGCCTCCGTCGCCACTCGCAGCACCCCAGACGACATCATTTGCTCTTCTGACACCGGTAACCCTTTTGCGAGCACCCCTGCGACCTTTCGCCTCGCCAATTCCGCCGACACATGGGCAACCACATACCCCTCCGCGACACGTCCATTCAGGCCCCTCGATGGTACATCAATATCAGCCATATCCAGCCTACCTGGATTCCTACATGTCGGCTTCACCGTATCCGAATTCTCATTGGCCATCGAGTTTTCCCCACTATCGAGAAGTTGAAAGACAACCGCATGACCATGAGAGGCGAACCTACACTCCCACGGAACCACGAGCCGATGATCCCACGAAATTACAAGGCCACATGAACGGCGAGCCCACAAAAAGCCCTAAAAGGGATCATGCAAAGCCAGATAATGTAGGCGAAACTGTAAGTTGAAGAAATAAATTCACATTACACAAGCCTAAAGGTTTTGGTAAACCGAATGTTAAAACTAAATCATATTCAAATTTAGCAATCTGGAAAAACCTCCCGAGCGGAAAACCCGATAATAACGAGACTCTCAAAGAAGTCATTTTGCAGAATGTCCAGAAGTCG